CCATTTATTTGCAGATCTTTTATGATATTAAACATATATATTTATAAGTACAAAAATTAACGAGATATCGTTTTTCTTACCTTTCTGTAAGAATAGCAATCTCAATACTTTTTAGCAAACGGATTGCTGGAGGAGATATCAGAATACGGCACAAAACAAAATGTGATATATGTCTGAGTCAAAAATGTTAGCCCACTTTTCTTTTACGGCATCATACTACGACGAGATATACTGGAAAGGGCGGGTTTCTGTACAGAAAAAAATTTTTTTCAACTGACCATGATAAGACTTAGTTTTGACATGTTTTAAGACCTTTAACTGCATTAAAATGGAAATTCAAGATCGATTACGACAAGTTATAATAAGAGATGGCAATGCAGATATGATTTAGGAATCGATCTTGGACACAATTTTTTAAATGAAAAATATATATAATGGAAAAGCACTATAAAGCGTGATCATAATCCGCTCCATGTGACATATCGCGCCAAAACTTTGCCCCCATGCCATTAAGCAACACTGGTTGAGAAAACGCGGGATGAGAAAGAGATACTCGATCGGTTTGGCTGGTTTTACCTATTCGTTATAAACGAGTATACTGCCGCAATGCTTGAACACTTCGTCGGCGTTGGCTTGCTGATCGGAACAGAACAAGCAGTTAATAACAAGGGGAAGTTTAAGACCCTCGTGTATTGTGAAAAGATGGAACATAGCACGTGAAGAACGTGCGTGCGTGCCATCGATCACGGGGAATAACACCGCTCTCGTGCGAATCCGACTTCTAAGAAAAACACATACTTAAATTTCATTGTACTCACCGCATTTTCCTGACCGTAGTGAAGATCTCGTGAATATCTTATGTACAGATTCGTGTTAAACGTTCTGAGCTACCAGTCACAGCTGTCCACTCGCTGGCAATAAAATAACAAGATTCTAGGAATTGCCACAAACACGTTCAGGAAATGCTTGTGCCTTTTCTCACTATACTTTGCAATCCACACAACATAACCAACTTGCCCATGTTCATCAAACTTAATAACACGACATCTATATTGCCGATCTTCAGCACTCACCTTAACACTCACGCATGGAGATCTATCATATATGCCAAGTACACATATACACACTTACATATATGTATGTAAATAAATGTGTTTCCACCTACGAATGAGAAAAAGATGATGCATGTTACCTTTCAGCCTAAGGTATCTCAGGTAAACCTTGAAAGCAGCACTAGAGCGCCTGTCCTTGTAGTAAAAAGCGTGCAGTTGGCAAGGTCTCCTCTCACACCTGGGGTGTTAATGGTGGAGTGGGAAACGCTTGCAGCACCAGAATCACGCAACACGCAGGGATAATGAAACATTTGTACTCCTTGTCTGTTTGTTGCTTCGATTAAAAGTACGACCCCAAGAATATCGTGCGGTTATCTAAATACAAGTTATTTTGATGCTTTCTTTGATACAATATGTGTAAAAAAAGACACGGTGATTATTTATCACTTCCGACTGACTAAGCGCATCCCTTGTTCTAGCAATATTTCATACTATTTAACACTTTTTTATGCCTTTGAAACCAGTCTAAATTTAGTACATGTACAGTGTTTTTTCCTCAGCCGTGAACACCGGTTGCTTTAAATAGACAAACTACAACCTTAATTTAGAGATGAAGTTTCATATCGTCACTCTCTCTCTCTCTCTCTTTCTCTCTCCTAATTTTTCTCCCTTATTTCTTTATTTTTTTATGATTCTTTCGATATAGACACATATTTCAGTGTATTTCCTATCTTTAAAGATAAATAACATCTAAAGGGCAATGTCACGCTAGTTAACAAATACATATACTTGCTAAGTCATACTACCCTCCGCAGAGTTTTGGATCTTCCCCAGGGTAATTTGAATACCCCAAGGATTAGGCTACAATAACCTGCAGATAAAGAAACAATACCCCCGATATTCAGCGACAAAGATCGTAATCCTGATTAAATAATTTATCAAAACTAAAATAGTTATACAGGCGTCTGATAAACGACGAGCAGACATAGGAATTGGTTAAATATGTAGCTTCCATGGAATTTAATCAAGAATAAAAATAGCGTTCCTCATTTCCCCTTGCTTAATGAGCTAATCTTGGCCTCCATTTGCTTTGTTCTTATGATTGACTTTAATGCACATTTCAGTAATGTTGGTGATATTACCCCGTCATTTCCCCCTTCCAATAAAATGTGAATACAAGAAGAGCTTTCGTTAAGTATAAGGTAAACAGCATTTACACATCCTCAACATCAAATGACACGACTTCTGATTTGCGTGGCATTTTAACGATCAAGTTAAGTGGTTATTTTGGTGAACGCCGACCCCTTCCAGAGAGGAAAGTGTCCCCAGGTCATTGTGTATCTCATCTGTCACTTCCATAGTTAAAGTGACAGTGATTATTTTGAACATTATGTATAAGCACCCATGGGTAAAAATTTCTAAAATGCTTGACACTCAAAATCCTCGTTTCTCTGAAAGCCTCTTTATTTTGTTGGATTAAGCTCTGAAAATCTGCTTAAGTTAGTTTCTATAATAACTTCATATAAATCCATATCTCTAGTAACGAACTCATAGGGGTCTCCTTCGCTGACCAACGTCAGTTCAAATTGACCACCTGGTACATTTTACAGTGTGTCACGCCAGATTTTAATATTTTCGAGAAAAATCCGTACATCTCCTAATGCATGTATATGCAAAAGTTGAATAGGTAGGTAAAACGAAAGACAAAACAGATAATGTATGAGTGAAATTAAAAATAAATTAAAGACGGTAATTGATTTTGCGAGACCAATAACATCTCTCTCTCTCTCTGTCTCTCTCTCGTAAACATTCATAACAAATTGCCAGGGTTGCTCTGTTCCAATCTGTTGAAGGCTAACACGTAGAACAGCCAGTCATCAACATTTTAAAACTAAATACCCACAAGTCTAACGTCTAATCCTACTATAGCCAAGATGGAGTGAGAATGAAAATTAAGCACAAATACCTTAGATAAAGTCCAAGAAAGTGCCCAAATTCACGCCGGTAACGCACCTGTGTTCTGTTGGTGTCCTTTCAAGTAGAATATGAACGCGTTCAGCGCTGTCACAGGTATCTCGCTCACCTGCCAGCGATACAAGCATATTAAATGCGGGGAGAGGACAGAGAAGGTGGAAGGCACAAAACTACATTTGTTGAAAATAAATAAAGAAAAGAAATGAATGATAAATTGATGATGACGACGATAAGATTAATATATATTAAAGACAAATAGATTGACAAAAATTTCCCGAAGTATAATAAATTCAGTATTTAAGGCATGTCTCACAGCTGCATGTGAGTTATCAGTTAAATTGCATTCTTTAGTCTAGATCATTTTGGTTTGAATTAGAAAATAAACGGTTCCTCTTGTCAATTTCCTCATGGAAATCATACATGTTCGTAATTACAAATAATATTTTCGTTTGCGTTTTATCAATCATGAATGCACTGCAGTGGAACATAGATGCTTTGAGATGTCACATTAATAATAGAATTTGTCATTTGTGCTGTGGAGGAACAATACTTCATGTTTATGTCTACATCCGAACCTTATCCATAGGCGGCCTCAAATCATTACTGTAGCTTGCAGCAATAACAACACAAAGCTGTTGATAGGACGATGTGCCTGGAGACCACGACTCAACTATTCCATACATGTGGAACGCTGCCGCCGGTTTAAATGGGAACACTGGGTTTCCCCTTAAAAATCAAAAAGATGAATCATCATAAAGATGATAAAGTATATTAACAAAGCCGTAAAATAAATGGTAAAAAACACCCGCAGGTCGTTCGAACCCGTACCAGCGCCACGCAGTCTGACGATGCGGCCCATATACAACCATCTGATCAAAGGGGACCTCTTGCTTCTAAGAAAGAAGCAATTAAAACCTGCATATTTGTAAGAGTATACTATGAACTATGTCTATTAAAAATAGTATGTGACATACTATTATATTAATTGCAACGAAATTTCTCTTTAACACTTATGGATTATGAAATTAGTGGCACCGAAGAAAACAAAATGGATAAAACATGGGATCCTATGGAAGTTAAATACTGTATGACATGATGGAAAAATACATAAGAATATGTATAATGTGTAAGTGAAATTATGGTGCCGAAGGTATGGTGTTTTCGTCTATTCCAGTTGAACTAATTTGTGACCAACGGTAGATCCCGGCGTTGTTGTTTGTGCGAGAAGTGTCTCTTCTGAAACTGAGCCAATCTCCATAAGATAGTAATTAAAGTGCATTACTTAAAGCGATATTAGTTCATTTTCCACCTCTACTATCAGGTATTCTGGTCATCTGGCTGTACATAGACCCTTCACGTGTAGTGTGTCATTTTGAAACTATGTGACGCCAGCAGCTAGGAAAAAACATGTACTTTTGACGCCTGTGGACCTGCAGTACTAAATTTTTCGTAGGGTAAAAGCACTTGAAATTCTCAACGCGACTTTGTACAACGTTTATCTCTTGCGAAAATCGACGTAGTCAGTGTGAATACATGTCATACGTGTCCACCTGCATTTTGATCTCTCTCTCTCTCTCTCACACACACACACACACACACACACACACACACACCACTACTGGCATGGGTCCACGCATATCAAGGTATTTAGCGACCAGGACGGGTGGACAGATCCTGTATCGCGTGTTCATTGTAATTATTCTTAATTTTACTCGTCATAACTCTGGCCAGCCATACTAGAGGAATAGGCCTGCCAGAGGACGCGAGGTGCTGGAAGTCATAATGCCATATCAAACAAACTTGATTCGTACAAAAAGGTGAATACTAATTAAAGCGGATATCTCGGGGGGATATTTTCCTGTGATGTCTTTTTAGAACAACTATTATGACTTTTTTACTGACAAGAAGGTTTGCAGCAGCTATTTTGGCGACAGAGGCGTTGATTGAATAATGATAGATCTTGGAATAAGCAGCTTACAGAAAGAAACTAACTAATGCTGTAGGTTGCTTATCATTTTGAAAACACTGAAAGAATAATATTGTACGTCTGATTTGTAAAATATATCACCCCTCCAAAATAGGTAAAACAAGTCACGGAAGAAGCTGAACTACATGTCCAAAAATAACAAGAAAGACAACTTACAGTCACGATCATCTAACCACCATTAACATCCTTAGCCACACAGCCATGGTCTTGTCTTGTGTTATTCACCAGATAACAGAATTATTAAGGTCCTGTTAATAACTTAAGTAAAAATTGGTTGCAGTGGATGGAGCGCGGCGTTGGGCTTAGTCACTTCAGTCGAGTCTATTGATCCAAGTTCTACAGTTCCCTTTAGCGATAGTTTACCAGCATATGGCGGATGGTTTTATTTTTTTCACCGTCGCTTTTCTTTTTCTGATGTGTTATTTACGCGCAAATGCCCACTTGTAAACAAAAAAACCGCAACATTTTGCCAGATAATGAACAAAGAAATACAGAAAATCCATACTTATGACAAAGAATGATATTAAAGATAGTGAGAAAAATATATTATAAATCATATTTTTCGTTTTCATTTTTTTTAAGTCTATAATAAAAAGTCTCTGATTTTTTCCAGCATCTCTGTTTTTGCATGATTTTTCTTAGTTTTAGTGACATATTTGAAACTATCTCAACTCTTTGTTCGCTTTCTTTACGTATTATATGATCAATGACAGCAAAAAAATAAATGTATAAGAAAGACAGGATAACTGGAAAAAATAAGGAGTGCCGAATTTTTATATTTCATTGTATCACTATTGAACATATTCTCTAACAGTTAATATTGAGTGTATTTCACAGGTTTTTGGGAAAAAAGAAATCCTTTTAAGCGTCTGTCTCCCAGGGCAATTTCTAGCCGAACTGCTCCGTGTTGTTATCACAACTTGGCGTGAAAATTACAATGTCGACATATTTTTTCAAGTTCATTGATCATTTATTCCAGTATTTTATCAAATTAACTTAATATCTGATGACAGGTTTGTGCTTTAATTAGGATGTCGTCTGTCGATGACTAATTGGCTCCAAGATCTTGTCAGATTTCGAGGAAACTCCCTGAGTATTTGTGCATTACCGGGATTAACGTGGAGTCGGTGAAACGCAGCAGTGTTAAGACTTAAGCTGCTTAATTCCCGTCAAGCACAGTGAGCTACTCATGCAAAAATCCGATTTGCATGGAAAGGGATTGCACGAAATTACCTCCGAATTTGTCTGACATGTCGTTTTTACTTTAATCCAATTTTTACCTTAGTAGTGTTTATATCTTTTCACCTGCTTCTCACGATTATTTCAATTTTTTCTTCAAAAA